GCCATGTGGGATTCTGGCCCCTAGGGGAAAAAGGATCCCCATTCCACCTTACATAATGTTACATAACTGCTCTTTTTCGGCTCTATTTGGGAGTGTATTGGTGGGTGGAGGGTGCCACTCTGTGTTAAATGTCCCATTCCACACTCATTCACGTAATTGCAGCTATGCAGGTTTTTAGCACCCCACCTCCTGACTAATATTTTCCATTTTGTTAGTGAGACAATAATTACCTGGATAGTTTGTGCACAGCAAATGAAGAGACTTCAGTCTCTAGAACATGGCTCACAGGTGGTTGATAAGAAGCATTTGTGCTTTTTTTAGAAATTGATTGCCCATCTGACCAGGCGTGCTCATCCTCCAAGTAATCCAATTCATCACCGTCATCTTCACCTGATACAAGCATCCTGAAAAGAAAAGAAAAGCAGTATGCTTCTTTTAGAAGCAATAGTCTTAGGGATAAGGCAAACTTCTGGAACTCTCTGCTCAATATAGCTACTCAAGCAACTCAGTTTAGTTATCCAAAACATTCAGAACTAAGCCAGGATCTTTGCACTTGGTCCCCTATTTGTAAATACTTATAAACCACTTAACATTTCAAAAATCTTTAAGCGGTGTATAGTGTGAAAAACGAACATCAAATAAAAAATGCACCCTAAAACCAACAAAACATCAAAAAATACATAAAAGCAAATAAAATAGAAATTCAGAGGATTCAAATATGTACAGCAGCGTCCAATATTATGGGTCAGAGAAAACCTGGGCAAAAGGGTAAGTCTGAATCTAACCCAATATTTATACTACCCTGCTTTTTCAATTTAGGAAATTCACAAGGCACATCATAAACAAAACAATAAGTACCACAATGATAAATCATTACAAAACCTTATAAAAATAAAGCTTAGCAGCGTAAAACTCAGCAGCAGCTTTCACTGTTCATTAAGAGCAATGCTAAAAAGATGTGTTTACTCTGTTACTCCAGACTAAGCAAGTAACCATCTGGCACGCATCTCTTGGGAGGGAGTTCCATAAGCAATGAGGTCATCACAGTGATGGCCCCATCAACCACCCACCTCAAACAGCAGTCTTCATAGACTCAACAAGGCAGGTTCATTTGAAGCAAGCAGTAATTCAGAAATTCAAGTCTCATATTATTATGGCATCCATACTTTACAAGTTTGCTGCAGGAAACACTATGTATCCATCACAAGTGTGTTTGCCATGTAAACTGAGGAGCCACCCTGAGACTTTGTTTCTTTCTCTAGAAAGGCTGCCCAACCACATCTGTCACAGTCCATTCTGAACTTTGAATAATATGATCTAATGCCTATAAAATCTGAGAATAACTAAAGGGTGTTCATATTCAGTCCTTCAACATGTCATAGTATCTGTTTAATGAAGAAATTATTTATGTTTAGAAAACTGACTCTGAACCAGCAGCCAGCTCTTGTCCTTGCAGCTCACGAAGAAGTTCTTTCACCCTCATCTGATTATCGGAAGTCATGTACAGAGTCTGAAGAGGCATCTTTGTTTTGGGTGCTTGTCTGGTCTGTCCATGTCCTCTGCTAGCAGAGCTTGATATATTAAAAACAAAACAAAAGAAGCACAATACATTCTAATTTATTCAAGTAACGGAAAATACATGCACACTGTAAGCTATGCTGAACATAAGAACAGTTGTATGGGTCATTTTGTCTCCTGACTAGCTAAGACCATCAAGAAAGTTCCTAAGCAGGTCATGTTGGAAAAACCCCTATTCTGTTGCTAGGAAATTCAAAGAAGGCAAGCAAAGTCACCAGAATGTTTGACACAGCTAAGTGCAGGATCTGTGACAAGCCCCATAATGACCACAGTATATTTAAACAGACAAGCTGGATTAAAGCAGTTGGGCACAGAAATTGTGGTGCAAAAGTTACAGTGCGTTTCTGTGGGTTATTTAGTCATCTTTTAAAAGACCCACCCCCAAATACATCAGCTTCTTTGTTTGATTAATAAATTTCAGCTGTACCTATTATTTTAAATATCCCACTTCACTGATCTGACCTGAATGGGTGCAACCTCTTTCTGTGTCATGCAAAACGAGCAATAAAAGTACTAGCACAACAAACACACAGACCTGTCTCTGTGCTAAATAGCTCCCTTTCCCCTGAGATACATGGTGCTATGGTAGCTAGGGGAAGTAGCCTTCGGTTTCCAATATATGGCAATCAATATACTATTTCTTAAAAAATGAGCTGTATTTCCAGCTATTCTCACTAGTAGCCAATGTCAAAAACCCTCCCTCTGTAAAAGGTGGCACACAAGAGACAGTAGATGAGGCTCAAATTTGTGGTTAGTTTCAAAGCTGTAATAAAAATACAAATATATCTAATAAGAATACAAGCGTTTTGGAATTAATCACTTAAGTCAGGGGTAGTCAACCTTTTTATACCTACCTAATGCATCTTTCTTGATTGTAAAATTTTCCTATCACCCACCAGTGCTCGATGGAAGGAGGATTCAGCTTGTGCCGTAGAATCCCCTACCGCCCACCTAGAATCCTGAAACGCCCACTAGTGGGTGGTAGCGACCAGGTTGACAACCCCTGACTTAAGTCAAGGCACTTCACTTTACCATAGGAATAAAGGAAGTTGCCTTGCACTACATAGCCCAGTCTTAATTGCTCTGATTAGAAGTAGTTCTCTGGTGTCTTAGGCAGAAAGTGGTCTTCCTATCAATTGCAACCTGATCCTATTTAATTGGAGATAGCAGAGATTGAGCCTGGGACCTTCTACATGCAAAGTAAAGTATGTGCTCTGATAAGGAGCTACAGCCCTCCCTGATCTTGCTTCTTAAAACATTCTTAAAACAATCTTCAAAAAGAAGTTTTTAAAAAAACAACCTAAACTCCAAAATGTAAGATTCCATCAAATTCACTTAGCTGACCTGGCTACATCTTTTGGTCCACTGAAAACACAGAAATCACCATCATCATCATCAACACAGAAATCATCACCATCGTCCCAAATTTTCTCCGAGCCTTTTTTGCTGCCACTGGCTTGGCATTTGTTAGAAGGTCTACCACAGCTACTGCTGCCACCACCTCTGCCTCTTCCTCTTCTTGCTCCCCTTCCGCCCCCTCTGTTTGGTTTTCCTCTTCTCTTCCCTGAGGAGCTCATTTTCTCCTTTCTGTAGGAAAAGAAAAATGAAAGTACATGATCAACAGTGAAAAATACCAACCAGGATCACCATGCAGACTAGCAGGAAAGATGGCAATTATTACTTCTGTTTTTGTAGCTCTGGCATACAGCGTCAATCATCAAACATCCCTGTCCCACAACCCACAGGTAGTAAGTTCCATTATTTTCAACGGGATTCACTCCCTAATAATTTCACATAGTATTTCAACCTTCAAAAGTTATAATCAAGACAACACACAAATCTATTACACTTTAAAGATCAATTGAATGTACCATGGACTCTACCACTCACCTATTATTAATTTAGAATTTTTTAATTAAAATTATTTTAAAACTACTCTACATCATTAAAGATACCAAGGCAGCACACAAAGAATAAAGCAATCAAATCAAACACAGTACAGTTGAGAATTTGAAAACCTTAATCCACGGAGAATAATTGGCTTTAAATCAGCCAGGCAAAAATACAGACCAAAGTACCAAAGTACCAAAGTAACTGTAAACTAGGCACCAGACACACTCCTAAAGATAAGGACACAGACAGGACACCCCCACAAGAGAGGATTCTGTCCTGTTTCCACATAGTACATTTCCAGACGCAAACAAAATTTCTATGGGAAAGGGCTATATAACTCAGTGGCATAAGCTCTATTTTGTGTACAAAAGGTCCTGGGGTCTAGTTCAGGCATAGGCAAACGTGGCCCTCCAGATGTTTTGGGACTACAATTCCCATCACCCCTGACCACTGATCCTGTTAGCTTGGGATGATGGGAGTAGGAGTCCCAAAACATCTGGAGTGCCAAGTTTGCTTATGTCTGGTCTAGTCCATACTGGCACCTCCAGGGAGGGCTGGGAGCAGCTCTCTTCCCAAAACCCTGGTGAGCTGTTGCCAGTCAGTGTAGACAATACTGAGCTAGGTGCACCAATGGAATCGCAGAATGGGAAAATACCCCAACGGTCATCTAGCCCAACCCACTGCAGTGCAGGAATGTTGCCCAACCTGAGGACTCAAACCAACGACGCTGAGATTGAGAGTCTCATGCTCTTCCAACTGATGAAAGCCGCTTCCTGTGCTAAGCCTCCTCGATAAAGATCATATAATAATAAATAATAATAATTTTTTATTTATACCCCACCCATCTGGCTGGGTTTCCCCAGCCACTCAGGGCGGCTTCCAACAGAACACTAAAATACAGTGGTACCTCAGGTTAAGTACTTAATTTGTTCCATGAGGTCCGTTCTTAACCTGAAACTGTTCTTAACCTGAAGCACTATTTCTGGGTTAGCAGAGCGTATGAAGCGTATGTAACCCGAGGTACCACTGTACAATAATCGTAAGACACAGGCAAGCTGGTACAGTGCAAGGGGGCACGTGCGCTTTCCGGGGTACAGAGCAATTTGGACCCTAAATAAAGATGTAAAGGTAAGCACTCCTAAGACCCCACCTCGCCCCACTGACCCAGCCCTCCCTCCCACCGATACTGCCTCTTTCCAAAGGCACCTGAAGCTCAGCGGCTCCTCCCGGTTCCTTTCACGCAGCGCCTGGAAACACCCCGCAATTGAACGAGCCCCAACTAAGCCAACAACAAGAGGGTTATAGACCTTTGAGGGAGCCCGAGGGTCATCTAGTCCAACCCCCCTAAATAAATACAGTAAGTGCAATAATAATAGTAATAGTAATAATAATAATAATAAACAACCAGCTTCCCCCTCTCGCCGGTTCTTCCCTTTCCAGTCACCTGCCAGAGATGCCGCTCTCGCCTCAGCCCAACCGCCTCCCTAAACAGTCACCGGCCACCCGGAAGTGAAAGGGGCGAGGCTCCTCCCACTTCCGGCGGCGGAGAGCTCGAGGGCGAGTACCCGGTCACCATGGCAACCGCGGGCGCGTCTCCTTTCGAGCCATGGCGAAATGGGGGTTGCTGCGCAGGTCGATCGTAGGCGACCGAGGTATCTTGCCTCTCCGCCGTCCCTCTGAGGAAGCGGCCGCAAGATAATGTGCCGGTTTCAGCCTCCTGCGCCACCCGCAGTCACAATGCCTCGGGGATGCGGCTTCTCGCCCATCTCCTCCCGCCGCATCGCCCTTATTCGTTTTACCGGCTCACAGCCGCGGGTCCTAACCGCGTCTCCTCAGAAACGAGCAGCCCCTTTTCGTAGAGTCGAGAGTCGTCAGGTTGGAAGGGACCCCGAGAATCGTCTAGTCCAGGGTTTCCCAAACTTGAATCCTCCCCAGCCCAGCTGCTTTTGGACTATAAATCCCATCATCCCTGTCCACTGGTCCTGCTAGGTAGGGGTGATGGGAGTTGTAGTCCAAAAAAAAAACCCCAGGAGCCCTTGAATGGTTGCATGAACGCTGCTTATACCAAAGAATCAGTAAAAAGAGTGTTTTTCTCTCTGCAGATGCTGAAGTTTACAAAATATCGTTTGTATTTCCCAATGGAGATAAGTATGGTAAAAAAAAAAAATTGTCAGATATTATAATTATAGTTTTTTTAAAAAATAAAAAATTGTAACTTTTAGCTTTTTATCTGATATTTTTCAAAATGAAACAAACGATAATGGAATGTTAATAATAATAATAATAATAATAATAATAATAATAGAAGGCAATGAAGGGCTTATTAAAGCAAGGTAGTGAGTTATGATAAGTGGAAAGCTTCCTCCATTTACCCTCTTTCCAAACCTCTTCCAAAATTCCAGCAATATGTCTCCTCATAACTAAGATATGATTGAGAGGTAGATAGATATTATTGAAATCAGCTGATTTCCCCCCTCCGCCTCCTAGTAAGCATGCATAAAGTCTGATGGCTGGATGTGCTGCTTTTTTATTTTTAACTTCACACAGAGCTTTCTAGCTAGCCCATCCTGATTCCAGTACTGGGATGGGGGGTAGCTGGAAACACTTTTACTTCACAGTATGAGATAAAGCTGTGGGGTCTGGAAGTTACTTCCAGTGGCATATTCTGAAGGGTTCTGGAAAAGGTTGAACTACTCTAGTTATTAATTAAAATCTAGTCTAATGCTTGTTGGATTTTCCCCACCTACTTTTTATTTTGCTTAGAGGGTGACTGTACAAGAACAATTGAGGGAGTCCTTGAGAGGAGTGGACATGGAGTTCATACTACTCCAGATGGAATTATTTACCAAGGAAACTGGAAAAATGATAAGGTATCTGCAAATATCAAAACAATTAATTTTAAGCTCCTTGCCTAAAGAAACTTGAATCAATAAAATTATGTCAGAGTCTTTAACATTTTTGTTCCAATTGAGTTATTAAATATATGTTAAAGACAAAATACATTGCTTACATTAATTAAGGGCATGCTTGGGCTTAGCTGTTTTATTCTTCAGAGTAATGCATTAATAGCACAATCTCAACATAAATTCACTTTACTTTGTTGAGCTTTGCTCCTAGATAAACATCTGTGCATGGCTACTCAAGACTAAGGCCCAGTGGGACTTACTCCCAAGTAAACATGTAGAAGATTGACATTTCAATGCTTATTTGAATTCTTATGCAATGCTCCTGTGAGTTACTGTGGTAGCAATAGTGGCAAGCTCTTGCGTGGAGTTTGGTTTTGACCTGACAGCCTGTAAAGTTTATTTTTCTCTCTTTTCTTGTTTTGGAAATGACAGTGAAGAAATAAATCCTGGGTTGTATTCAATGGTGGCTTTGCCTTAGCAGAAAGCACTTCAACTTGCATATGTTGGGACATCTGATTTTTGCCAATCCTACTCCCTTACTTTCTGCAGCGCTTAGTGACATGTCCTATTCTGTTCTGGGGGTGTCCTCCAATCCTCGGGAGCAGCTTTGAGGAGGTAACTTAAGTAAAATCAGGCTCTTTCCGCTGCAGCAGAACCACCATTAGATACAACCACTGTCTGGTACTGTATGCAACAGGCCATTGGCTTAAGTCAGGCACCCCCAAACTCGGCCCTCCAGATGTTTTGGGACTCCAATTCCCATCATTCCTGACCACTGGTCCTGTTAGCTAGGGATGATGGGAGTTGTAGTCCCAAAACATCTGGAGGGCCAAGTTTGGGGATGCCTGGCTTAAGTTAAAAGGTAAAGGGACCCCTGACCATTAGGTCCAGTTGTGACTGACTCTGGGGTTGCGGCGCTCATCTTGCTTTATTGGCCGCGGGAGCCGGCATACAGCTTCCAGGTCATGTGGCCAGCATGACTAAGCCGCTTCTGGCGAACCAGAGCAACACACGGAAATGCCGTTTACCTTCCCGCCGTTTACCTATTTATCTACCTGCACTTTGATGTGCTTTCGAACTGCTAGGTTGGCAGGAGCAGGGACCAAGCAATGGGAGCTCACGCTGTCGCGGGGATTCAAACCGTTGACCTTCTGATCGGCAAGCCCTAGGCTCTGTGGTTTAACCCACAGTGCCATTGTACTTTCTCCTTGGAATATTAGTAACAAGGCAGGGCTCTGGAAAGGACTTTTTGTGGATAAATTGTTTGATTAATGCATCTTGAATGGCTTTGTGTCTTTTAGAGGTTTTGTGGTCTCACCTCCAATCTTAGCGCATCGTGTGCCCTGTTTCAGTGCAGTACATCTGATTTACTTCAAGGCAAAAGAGTCAATCAGGAAGAGTGGGATCTTGTGATGTTTTCCAGTTTTACACACCCACACCCATATCGCTGAGGAACCAAAGATGAACAAGGGGGCAGACTTCCCAGTCTTAAGAACAGGCCAATGGCCCACCTAGTCCAGCATCCAGTTCACATAGTGGCTAACCAGATGTCTATAGGAAGCCTGAAAGCAGGACTCGAGTCTGTTAGCACTCTCCCAGGGTGCTGCTACCTTTCATCACCATGAGACAAAAGTGTAGTTCCAAATTCTTTGGGAGATGCCATGATTTGAAAAGCGGCGACCTGACAACAGGGCAAAAAAAATCAAAACCTTTTAAAATGAGGCATTTAATGATTAGGGAAATGGTATTTAAATTTTGTCAGTATTATGAATGTTGCGCTCGTAAGATTTGTAAAGCCAATGTTTAAAGATTAATCATTTCTGTTAACATAGGTGACACATCTAAATTGAGGGGAAATAAAAGATGGAGTCACCTTTCTAGGAACGGATATTAATTTGTCAATTCCACTTCCTGTTAAATCAGATGAATGGTTTCGGAAGGCTGGAACATCCTTCAGGTGCAGTTTATGAAGGCGAGTTCTATAACAACATGTTTCATGGAACAGGAACCTACATATTTACCAATGGAGCCAAGTACACTGGACAGTTCTGTGAAAACAAGTAAGCTGAAAGGGACATAACCACAAGTTTGTGCCTTAATGTGGAATATATTCATCCTTAATCAGTATACAGGCTTTGCACTTAAAGTGAACCTTAGTTTTCTTCTTCCTACCCATGTAGGTTAGGGTGATCGCTCTCCAAATACATATTTTGACTGGATCCAAACTGTGGTTAGAAAGGCACATGATGCAGCAAACTTGCTGAAACTAACAAAATGTGGTTACCCCACTGTGGTTCTATGAGAGAGTTGTTGGAATATTCTAGAAGAAACTTGTAAATGGCCTTGAACAAGTTTATAAGCAACAGAAATTTCCCCCAGCAACAGGTGTTCTTAATCAGGGAATGTCAATAATGAGTATGTGAATGAGTCAGTATTAGGTTTCTGGCCAGTTGGCAAAAAGGAGAAAAAGATTGTTTATTTGTTTTTTTCTTCATTAATGACCAATGTAAAGTTTTGTAAATAATAAAGACTCTGAGAAATAGAACCAAATGGTGTTTATTCCTATAATGGGAATTTCACTAAGAGATAGCTGGAATGCTGATGCTGTAAAGAAGTAGGAAAACTTTTCTGTAAAAAGAATTCTGCTGCAGAAAGAAATGAAAACCCAAGAGTAGATGTTCACGCACCAACAGGAATAAATAATATAAATGTAAAAATTGAAATTAAAAGTACAAATTACTTAGCAGGATCAATATGGTAGTACAATTTCTGTTACACAAAACTAGCAACTCCAAAGCTTCTAACAGGCATCTCTCTCTTATGAGGTACTTTCTGTTTCACTGCCTAATTCAGCACTACCACCGCTAAGAAATAGACATCTCAAAGTGCTGCTGTACATCATTAGCCATACTTCTGTGACTGCAGCCTTCATTTTTACATGCTGCTTTTGTTCTGTTCCAGGCTGCAAGGGAACGGAGAATTTAAAGACACACAGGGCCTGGAATGGGATGGCACATTTCATTACACAGCAGCACCAGGGCTGAAGCTAAAGCTGGAAATGTAGGATAATTTGTACTGGAAGAAAGGCATTAAACAATTGTTATCCAGGCTGTTTCACAATAAATAATTTCTTAGTTCATTGATAAGAAACTATTGTTCTTAAATAGAGGTGAGCAAATAAAGCAAGCGTTAGACTTAATTTTTGGTTTGTTTGAGTTTTGTTTTGTTGTTTGGCTTGATTTCCCCCTTCATTTTACTGTAACTGCAAATGTTACAATCATCCTAATAAAAGATTTATCAATAAAAATATTGAAATTACGAAGAGACCAAGATTAGAATTTTAACTTTGAGAGAGAAAGCATGGAAACTAAGATAGAATGCAATTGGTCCCTTCCAGCTCTATAATTCTATTATTCTATGAATCAATAAAATATATGTTTACAGTTTGTGTGTATTAGATGTATGTAATGAACAGGAACAGAATGCCTCTGTTTGTTTGGCACAATGTTCCCAATGTCAGATGCGTTCACTTCTCCATAAAATATATCCCAGACCTTCATTACACATTGAGTCTTTGCTAAGGGTTCATTAGTATGCCATTTACTAGCAAGATCTTTCCAGGGAGCCATTAACAAATATATAAAGTGCTTGGTATCGCCACTTGAGTTGCGAGTTTCTCAAAACAATTCAATAAAATTACTAATGGAACTGAAGAGACAACCTTTTCAAATGTCCTTGATTATACTCTGAACAAGCTTTCAAAAAAATCTTTATTTCTTTACCATTTCACCATAAGTAGAATTGATTCCTCCCTACGTGCAGATTTTCCAGCATTCATCACCTGCTGGCTGCTTTCAACTCTTGCTGTCTGTTAGTGCAGGTCCATTGAAAAACCAAATGCTTCTCCACTGGCCCTTATGGATTTCTGCCCCAAGGTCAATTTACCTGCACTGAAAAGCTATAATTACATATATCTTACATACACTGGAAATCAAACCTTTGGATTTTAGATTCCTAAGTCATGAAGTGATTTAGAAGAGGTCAGGTCCCTGTCAACCTGCTGCAAAATGTTTTTATTTCAGACAAGATATTGGCCTGTAAGTATTGAATAAAACCAAGGAATGACAACCTCTGCTTTTCTAGATACGTCTCTATCTTTAAAAATTACTTCTTGGCAGGATGTCTTGGAAGTGCCTCTTTCCCCCCAATTTTAAAAGTCCTCTTATCTGCCATGTGTAATACAGTAGTAGTAGTAGTGGTGGTGGTAGTAGTAATAATATTAATAATAATAATAATAATGAAATTAATAGAAATTATATACCACTCTATGCCCAGAGGTTCACATAAAAATAATATAAAAATAAAAATAAAAGCAATAACCCAATAATACCCCCCCAAAAAGAGCCACATTTTCAAAAGGGTAAGGGATGTTGATCAGGTCAACCAAAGGTCTGGTTAAAAAGGAACATGATTGCCTGGCACCTAAAGGTGTATAATGAAGGTGCCAGGCAAACTTCCCTGGGGAGAGCATTCGACAAACAGGGAGCCACTGCATAGAAGACCTGCTCTTGTGTTGCCACCCTTCGGACCTCTCAAGGAGGAGGCACACGAAGGAGGGCCTCAGAAGATGATCTCAGGTAGGTTCATATGGAAAGAGGCGGCCCTTGAGGTATTATGGTCCTGAGCCATTTAAGGCATTATAGGTCAAAACCAGCACTTTGAACTGGGCCCAGAAACTAATGGGTAGCCAGTGCAGTCAGACCAGGATCGGTGTGATATGCTCAGACCGTCTTGCTCCGGTGAGCAACCTGGCTGCTTAATTCTGCACCAGCTGAAGTTTCCGAACCGTCTTCAGAGGCAGCCCTACGTATAACGCATTGCAGTAATCTAACCTTGAGGTTAGATTAATAATAATAATAGCAGATTTTGCATGAAACATCTCAAGAACAGTTGAGTTGGCAGTTGCGGTGCTAGAATGAGCCACAACATTATTCAAGTGACTTCAGCAGGCATTTCAATTTTTAGTTAAGTATTTTTATTTATTTGATTGGGGGCACATCTGCCCCCGCTGGCTACAGCCCATACCCCCAACCAATTGGGTTTAACATGCCAGTGTCTAGCCTTATTACCTGATGCAACTAATCCCTATGCTGACCGAAAAGTAGGTTGGTAATAGTTGGGGTCACATCCATAAAATGTTGGTGCCGTGTGGATTCTTCATTCTGCATCTGGTTCTCTTTCTTTCCAAAGAGCATTGCTTCAAGCTACAGTGAAGCTCAAAGTTTTTCCCATTGCTACTAGAAAAGACAACTGCAATCTAAACAAACATCACACTTGTTTTAAGAGTTCATCTTCATATTAAAATCATAGCTGAGTTAACCAACGGGGACACAAGGATCTGACCTGAGGACTGCATAATTAGAGAGCTTTGGGTTAGCTATGATTGGATTTGAAATTAGTGATTAGCATGTGATAGACCTACTTCTGAAAACGCCAGGCTCCCCTAGCTGCCTTCTGGAGCTCGTTTTTAGAAAAACGGTCATTGTTCCCGATTGCGAAGGTACTGAAACTGCAAGAGCTTTAGCACAGCTGGGGGGTAAGTTTAAAACGTATTGTGCTTCCATTTCATAGAGCTTTTAAAAGTATGTTTTAATGTTAACATAAAGTTAAGGCTGAGCATGTTTTTGGTAATGAATTGGCACTAAACTTACATGCATCACAATATTCTCTAAGAGCAAGAGATAAAACTTAATGCACTTAGGCAGACATTAGGCAGCAATCGCACACATGCTTACCTGGAAGTAAATCCCATTGAATTCAGTGGTGCTTACTTCTGAGAAGACATGCATACGATTGCATTGTATCTGCATTTTGTCTATACCTTGGGATTTTTATTGCCAGCTTTATTTACTGGTTTGTTACAAAGTATAATAAATCTAAGTACTGGAGAGAATAAATACTCCTTGACTGTGAAAGGAATAGAAGAATAAAAAGACTCTCCAATATATAGTTTTTGAAAAACTTTCTTATTCAGTCAGGGTTAACTGAAATTTCAGTACAGCATTCAGAATCCAAGGATGCAAAAAAGCTGACATCTCCCCTCATAAAACCAATAGAAAGCCTCTCACAGGTTTCACAAAAAAAGTAAATTTGTTAGTTGGATATAATCTTATATATGGTCTTTTAAGCACATCTGAAATAAATCAAATTATTCCCTTTATTATTTGAACATTTATCAGTGTGTACAGATATATATATATATAGAGAGAGAGAGAGAGATTTAGGTTGCAGTTCTATACTAACTAACCTGAGAGCAAGTCAGATTTATCTTAACGGGGGTCTCCTTTTCAGTAGACGTGTATTCCATAGTCGACATATTAAAGGTGCAAACCAGAAACCAGCCACAGGTAAGTATTATTAAAGTCTGATTGGTTTAAATGGAAAAGAGAGAGCAGATGCTTAATACTGGGATGGGGGAAAATACAGGACTTTTGAAATGTGTAATATTTGTTCATTGTTTCTAAATGGTCTCTCGTCCAAACGTTGATCAGGTTCACACACTTGCTCAGGCATAAGACAATTCCTTACAGTGGGTCACACCGCTGGCTCATCTATTCTAGCACAACAATGTCTGCACCAAGGAGGTGGAAATTGTGGTCCTCAAGATGTGCAGTGTTTGTTCCCGTCTGCCCTAGCCAGAACAGTCAAAGGTGAGGGATGATGATGATGTTCGCAGTTGTGTTCCAACAGAATCTGAAGGCCCACAAATTGCACTGACTGGCAGTGGCTCTCCAGGGTTACAGTTAGGGGTCTCCCCCCCCCCACTTTCCTGGAGATGATAGAAATCCATCTGCTATGTCACTGAGCTACCACTATTCCCTATGTTGCAGCATATACAGGGCGCCCCGAAAATACTCAAGACTTACAATTATTTGCTTTGGCTGGATTATGCTCTAAGATAATACGAAAACATACATAATACATGCATGCATGCATCCATTTTACTTGTATGCCACCTTTCTATAATTAAAGCCATGCTCAGAGTGGCTTACAGCATGATAATAGACTCATGACTGTAGTGATATAAGTAAGGGCCATAGAAATCAACACAATTTACTTCAAAGTAAAGGCTGCTTCAGTTTGTTAATTACCTTCATTTCTTGCTGATGGCTTGGGCTGGTAGGAGTTGGCATTCAACATCTGGAGAGAACGCCATGGGTTCTCCAAATGCGATAAACAGCTTATGTTTTATTTGTACTGTCTGCCTTTTGTTGTTTTTTTAAAGCCATTTTTGATGCTGTATTTTAATGTATTTCCAATTGTCTTTTATGACATGGTGATTTTAAATGGCATTGAGTCACCCTGAATAGTGAAGAGGCAGTAGACACCTGCCAGGCCACAACTGGCAATGTCTCCCTCTCCCCCTGTGGCATCTTTTCTCTATGCTAAATGCAGTTCGTTATCCTAATTTCCTTTAGGTTTTTCTCAAATGATTTGCCTCCTATGAACTCATGATTTTTTTGCTATATTTTTCACCTCACTTTTTAAAGAACTGTTGTTTTCGAAAGTGGCTCATATCAAAGAGAGGGGAGGGATAGAGAGGCCCTTCCATCAGGCTTACAAACAAAAAAGGCCAGGCATGGGAAGGAACAGGAGGGTGGCAGGAAAAATTAGATCCTTGTAAGTCTCTGAATCCTTCAAACTGCTTAACTCTGTGTTTGAAGCAGTATAAGCCGAAGTCTGATGTGCCCTGTCATCCCGCTGTGAATATTTCCTACCTCCAAATCCTTTATGGCTTATCGTCTGCCTTGAATTATTGGTGCGCCAAACGAATTACAGTAATTCAAAATCAGTACCTCCAGTGCGTTATGCAGACTTATTTCCCAATTTGGTTTCCAATGCTTTCGCCAAATGCAACAGAAAACACCACTGGCTTTCGATAACAGTCGACAGCATCACATTGCTTTGTTGTTCTGATTACTAGAGGGACACAAATGAGTAGCCATTGGTGCCTAAAAAAGAAATAAAAGAGTATTGATGCCAAGCTGACGACTCCATTGCTCCTATAACATTTTGCAGGCTCCTAACACTTGCTAATGTGCCAATAAATCAATAAATCCCCACATTCTGATGCCCTCTAGATGTTGTTGGACTCCACTTCTCATCAGTCCCTGCCATCATGGCCAAAGGTCCAGGATGGTTGGGGATTGCAGTTCAACAATATTTGGAGGACACCACGTTGTAGCTTATGGGTGGCCAGCTGGCAGCCAACAAACCTGATGTGTGGTTAGGATGGGAGCCTGACAGGCTCAGAATACAAGAAGGGACTTTGCTTTCTCTTCTGCCATTGTATAGGCCTCTCCTTTACCGACAGTCATGTTAGTAGGGATAGCTGAGTCCCTCAACAAATGGACTGGGGAAAGTTGATCTGCCTTCTCCCAGCTCA